ACAGAGATCTACGTTGACGTTCCACATCCGTGTCATCTTTTAAGTCTATGTATGTATGTATATATGGGTATATATGTATGTATATATGGGTCTAATTTTAAGATAAGAAAATATTACAAATATATATTTTACGTAATTCCATTTATTACTCAAATGTAATAAAATCAATTTAAAAAGAAGTTTTTACAGGCTTTGCATCCGATTATTCAGCATTCGAGTTCATCTGTCAGCTCCTTTGTACTATAATATTACGTTACATCAAAGTGACATAAGTTTTGCTAAATTTCAGCTCAATAGGATATCAGCAGGTGCTTTAAAAATGATTATAAACTTTGAAACGGTGACACATAAGAAGACAGCATGTTAAATTAAAGCTTTTAATATTAAATTTTACGAAGACTCAACTGAAATACAGTATTTGTACGATTAATCGCAGATGCCTTGAAGATTATAGTGAGTATTATTAACACTACCGATAGTGGCTGTGTATTAATATCCACTACCCTGTTTCTGTGCCGAAACTATAACAGAAGTTGTTGTTATCAGGAACAACTCTAAATAGCAAAAAAAGCGAGTGTGCTTATGACCACACGACTGAATAAAGAAAAATAGCTTCATCTGTATATATATACAGATGGAGCTAAAGAAGTTTTACTTTAGCCAGGATATATATATATATATATATATATATATATATTATTATATATATATGAGTTTATATCATCATCATCATCATTACAGCCCTTCACAAGTCCACTGCTGAACATAGGCCTCCCCCAAGTAATGCCACAAAGCACGGTCCTGAGCCACCTGCATCCATCGACTTCCTGCATGTCTTACCAGGTCGTCACTCCATCTAGTGGGGGTCGCCCTACACTACGCCTACCGGTACGAGGCTGCCACTCGAGAACCTTTCTTCCCCATCGGTTATCGGTTCTTCGAGCTATATGGCCGGTCCATTGCCACTTCAGCTTACTAATCCGTTGGGCTATGTAGGTCACTCTGGTTTTACTGTGGATATCCTCATTTTTGAGTCTATCACGGAGAGAAACTCCGAGCATAGCCCTCTCCATAGCTCGCTGAGCGACCTTGAGCGACCTCATACGGCCACCAGTGAAGGACCACGTCTCTGATCCGTAAGTCATCACTGGCAACACGCACTGGTTGTACACTTTAGGTTTCAGAGATTGAGGTATACCTGACGAGAAGATGTGTCGTAATTTCCCGAACGCTGCCCAGCCGAGTTGAATCCGTCGATTGACCTCTCGGTCGAAGTTGGACTTACCTAGTCGGACTATTTGTCCCAGGTAAACGTACTCGTCAACAACTTCGAGCATAGTGCTCCCCACAACTACCGGCATAGGTGTGACATGGACATTGAACATAATCTTTGTTTTGTCCATGTTCATCTAAAGACCTATCCGTTGGGAGACACCATTGAGGTCATTGTGCATAGTGCTAAGGTCCTCCAGCGATTCTGCCATAAGGACTATATCGTCGGCAAATCGAAGGTGAGTGATGTACTCGCCATTGATGTCAATACCGTATCCTTTCCAGTCCAGTAGCTTGAAAACGTCTTCCAACGCAGCGGTGAAGAGTTTCGGGGATATAACGTCACCCTGTCTTACACCTCTCTGCAGTTGGATAGGTTTCAAACTCTGGTTCTGTACTCGGATAGCCGTCGTAGTCCTACTGTACAAATACTTCAGCACCTCGATATACCGACAGTCAACTTGGAACCGCTGAAGGGACTGTAGCACCGCCCGAATTTCAGGCTTTGCATCCGATCATTCAGCATTCGAGTTCATCGGTCAGCTCCTTTGTACTATAATATTACGTTACATCAAAGTGATATAAGTTTTGCTAAATTTCAGCTCAATAGGATGTCAGCAGGTGCTTTAAAAATGATTATAAACTTTGAACCGGTGACACATAAGAAGACAGCATGTTAAATTAAAGCTTCTAATATTAAATTTTACGAAGACTCAACTTAAATACAGTATTTGTACGATTAATCGCAGATGCCTTGAAGATTATAGTGAGTATTATTAACACTACCGATAGTGGCTGTGTATTAATATCCACTACCCTGTTTCTGTGCCGAAACTATAACAGAAGTTGTTGTTATCAGGAACAACTCTAAATAGCAAAAAAAGCGAGTGTGCTTATGACCACACGACTGAATAAAGAAAAATAGCTTCATCTGTATATATATATACAGATGGAGCTAAAGAAGTTTTACTTTAGCCAGGATATATATATATATATATATATATATATATATATATATATATATATATATCGTATATATATATGAGTTTATATCATCATCATCATCATTACAGCCCTTCACAAGTCCACTGCTGAACATAGGCCTCCCCCAAGTAATGCCACAAAGCACGGTCCTGAGCCACCTGCATCCATCGACTTCCTGCATGTCTTACCAGGTCGTCACTCCATCTAGTGGGGGGCCGCCCTACACTACGCCTACCGGTACGAGGCTGCCACTCGAGAACCTTTCTTCCCCATCGGTTATCGGTTCTTCGAGCTATATGGCCGGTCCATTGCCACTTCAGCTTACTAATCCGTTGGGCTATGTCCGTCACTCTGGTTTTACTGCGGATATCCTCATTTTTGAGTCTATCACGCAGAGAAACTCCGAGCATAGCCCTCTCCATAGCTCGCTGAGCGACCTTGAGCGTCCTAATACGGCCACCAGTGAAGGACCACGTCTCTGATCCGTAAGTCATCACTGGCAACACGTACTGGTTGTACACTTTAGGTTTCAGAGATTGAGGTATACCTGACGAGAAGATGTGTCGTAATTTCCCGAACGCTGCCCAGCCGAGTTGAATCCGTCGATTGACCTCTCGGTCGAAGTTGGACTTACCTAGTCGGACTATTTGTCCCAGGTAAACGTACTCGTCAACAACTTCGAGCATAGTGCTCCCCACAACTACCGGCATAGGTGTGACATGGACATTGAACATAATCTTTGTTTTGTCCATGTTCATCTTAAGACCTATCCGTTGGGAGACACCATTGAGGTCATTGAGCTTAGTGCTAAGGTCCTCCAGCGATTCTGCCATAAGGACTATATCGTCGGCAAATCGAAGTTGAGTGATGTACTCGCCATTGATGTTAATACCGTATCCTTTCCAGTCCAGTAGCTTGAAAACGTCTTCCAACGCAGCGGTGAAGAGTTTCGGGGATATAACGTCACCCTGTCTTACACCTCTCTGCAGTTGGATAGGTTTCGAACTCTGGTTCTATACTCGGATAGCCGTCGTAGCCCTACTGTACAAATACTTCAGCACCTCGATATACCGACAGTCAACTTGGCACCGCTGAAGTGACTGTAGCACCGCCCAAATTCCGACGAAATCAAAGGCTTTCTCATAGTCCACATACGCCAGGCAAAGTGGCAGATTGTACTCTTCGGTCTTCTGTACAATCTGCCGCAGGGTATGTATGTGGTCTATGGTATTGAAGCCTTTTCGGAAACCGGCTTGTTCGGGAGGCTGGAAGTCGTCGAGTCTGTGTGCGAGACGATTCGTAATGACTCTCGAAAACAGCACGTAGACGCGGCTCAGAAGGGAAATCGGTCTGTAGTTCTTCAAGAGAGCGTTTTTTCTTAAAGAACAAGACCACCGCACTTCTGCTCCACGCCTCCAGAGTAGTGCCACCATGGAGGACGGAATTGAAGAGCTTCTGAAGGACTTCAAGTACCGGTGTTCCACCCGCTTTCAGAAGCTCCGCTGTAATTCCATCCTATCCATATATATATGGGTTTATATATGCATATATGTATAATATACATATACATATATTAATTTTCTAAAAATATTTAAATTTACTATCGGCTTCCTTCCATAATTTGAATTATTATTTACCCCAAAATTCACAAAACATGAATTCTTTTCTATCATTATACAATCATCCGTCCGTCTGTCCTACTGTTTGTTTATGAGCGTATTGCGTCTAAAGTACTATCTTTTTAAGAATTTATTATTTTTACGTTTACCCGACGTTTCGGGTGCTTTACAACACCCATGGTCACGGGGGGGACTGAGATGTTTGACGTCCCAATGTCATAGTTAGCCTGGCTACCTTCAGTTTCTTAATATAAATTTTCGGCCCGATCTACGCAGAACGAGCTTACATTCTTCTTACATTCAAGATCTTGAAGTCTTGCAGTTGCAGAAATGTCGGGAATTAAATATAAGTTAAAATAAGTAAATTAAACGCGATAGAATCCGTGTATGTAGTTTTATTCAATGTGTATTGCTCGCGTAAACTTAAGAAATCATTATAAAAAAGAGTGTTTATAACATAGAGTAATGTAATACCATCTCAGTAAGATAAGTGCAACATTTAACCAGTGTCATCTATGGGGGAGGCCTATGTTCAGAAATGGACTTATATAAGCTATAATGAATCGATACTCGTCAGCGTATATAGCACCAACAATTGATTACTGATGAAATAAAATACATAAATAAAGAAAACTTTATAGGAGGTATACCGTCGTAAAACATGTCAGATTCTGTTAGTCTAAGGAGAAAATTTCTGCCCCAAGCAGATTCTAGCTTAACAGGCGGACTGACAACGTGCCAGACATCTTGAACTTTTGAATGACATAAACGGCATTTTTATCAGTTTAAATAGTCAACTTTTTCGACACCCATGCCATGAGATGAAATGGGGTAATAGATAATCTTACCACGCGACATATAATAAAACTAAGGTAAAAATAAAAAGTTTATGAAATTAGTTTTACGGATTTAGGGACAATTTTTTTTTAAAATGTTATAAAAAGGTTATCAGTTTCTTAATAGCCACCACCGTAGCTCGATACAAGATATTACATACAAACAATATTTAGATTATGATGAAAGAAATTTACTTATAAATTGTTTATGGTATTACCAGGAAGGTTTAACTTACGTCATGGATTCATAAAATGTCATGAAGGTTATCACCATTGCATTCAAAGACATTTAAGTAGTAGTAGTAGTATATTTAAATCTCTTTGATTGCATTAAAACAGAATCCTATAATTATTGATGTGTAATAACTTATATGACGCGCCTTTGATTTGATAAGATTAAGAGTATATGACATACGTGACTAGGTCACGTATGTCATATACTCTTAATATTAGATACTGAATTAGATTTTCACAATCATACATCATATTGAATGAGGAAAGAGTGACAAAGCAAATTTATGTTGCAGAAGTGAAAGGAAGAGTCGGAAAAGGACGTCCTAGGCGAAAGTTTATCGACCAAATTGGCGATATATTGAAAATGGGCCAAATTAAGTGTACCCTTAACCGACGAGCATGTATGCGTAGGTGTATGGATCTGGAGGAGGCGAGAGAGGTATGTCATAATCGTGCTAAATGGAAGTCTATAGTCTCTGCCTACCCCCCTGGCGACAGGCGTGAGTGTTTTCGATATTATGTATGTATATTACATAAATTTGCAAGTTAGCTAGTAAGACTTTGGGTTTTGTGATGAGGCTCAAATTTTGTATAATGCATATGTTCGAAGTAAATTAGAGTATGTAGCTACGGTCTGGAATCCTTACGAGAAAAGTATACACTTTTTTGGAGAGGACATAAGGTAAATTTGCTCGTTGGCTTTATAAGAAGAGTCGTGGGTGCTAACTCTTATGCTTTTTTATTCGTCTTGGGTGTGGTTGATTTTGAAACCCTAATGTTAATGAACGGTAATGTTAACTATTAGGCACTATCTTTCTATATTTCACCACAAATTGGACTGTCAATCGGTTATGGTGAGAATCGGTTTGTTGGTGCCCATGTACCTGCAGAGAGGTAATGTAGGAACGGTGACTCTGCGCCCTAGGCCGCGTCTCCTAGATATACCGTTACTAGTTACCCGTTCCAAACTTGCTGCCTTTGCACCAACAAATCGAGCATTAATACTTATAGGAGACATACTCACTCAGCAAGAAGAAATTGACATATTTGCAGACAGTATGATACGTCTGCTGACTCTATACTATAAAATTGTCGATGACATGACAATTAATAATTCGATAATTTAATTTCCTTGACTATATACTATTACCTTGTATTTAGATGTTATTTTAATTATGGGCATGTTAGGACTGTAATACCGTAGACAGAGAAACCTATAGACTAATGTTTAGCGTGGCCTCGAGTGAGAAAGGACGATAACGTAGTTTTAGGTTATACAATAATCTTTATGACTTTTAAACATATTTAGATAAAAATTTTAATTGTTCTAAGAACTGAACTGAACAAGATTCACCAATCTTAAGCTCACAATACACTTTTTTTCTCACTTAAACCAACTTGTAAACTCCTTAGATCCCAACGAACTGTCAAAGTTGCTTAGCAAAGTGTAGTTTGCTAAACAAAAAAACCGGCACGGAGTAAGGGACATACAATCACACCGCTCTTTTCTTATGTTCGATAGCGTAATGAAACAAGAAAAGAAGATTATTTCGATTGAAGATTATATTTCAAGGTCGATTGAAGGACTTTAAATTTATTTCACAACCATGCTAGTTTATCAGATTCCACTAAAAACATTACTTATTAATTAAAAAAAAAAAAACTCACCATTAAGCGTTCTAAATAAAAAGGATACTTCCATTCCACTATGTCGATACAGAGCTTCCTCAAAGGGTTCTTAAGTGTCAAACAGAACAAGGCTCGCTTGGGGCGCTCTTGTAGAACCTTGGGGCCTCTTCGTGGCGGTTTTCGCGGAGCTACAGGTACTGGTATGAGAGGCCCAGTGCCGTCGGGCGCTCCCGGGGTTAATGGGGCCCCTGGTACTGGGGCTGGAGGTGCCAGGGGCTCTTCTGTACTGGTTTCCACAACACTCATCTTGACCTGAAAATAATTTTCTCATTAATCAAGGGTCGTGTTTCATAAGTGAGTTTTATTTTGAATTCGATTTCAATAAGAATGGAGTAATTATAAATTTCCAGTCGAATTCGCCACAGAATGTCATAAAACTTCAGGGTTTCTGTAATAATTGGTATCATGCTTCTGAATAAAATACATAAGTATATACATATTATAAACGTTAATTATTGAGTGCTCCAAGTCACAAGGGACTAATGAGTTTTGGATCTTTATGCCCGAATTTTTATCCTTTTAAGTCAGTATCTCTCGTTTCGACTGTATTTTTTGTGCGTTACCTCAGAACTTTTTTCTAGGCGAACCGATTTGATGAATCTTTTTTTATTTGAAAGCTGGTGCTTCTCATGTGGTGTGGTTTTTATTTATATTTATTCAATTAAAGATTATATACATATATTGAAGTCGGTTATAGAAAATGTTTAATTTTACTACTCGTGTCCTAACACTGTCTTAAATTTAAATTTCTAACATTTCTTGATCAAGTAAAGTTACAGCTTATATACGTCCCACTGCTGGGCACAGGTCTCCCCCCATTATTGAGAGGGTTTTAGGGCAAGGAAGTGTCCGCCGCGCTGCCCCAATGCGTGTTGGCGAATTTCACACGTCTTCGAAACTATTTTTTTTTCTTATTCCTCAGACATGCAAGTTTCTTCACGATGTTTTCCTTAACCGCCGAGCACGTGGTAAATCAGCACTTAAAATTGCAATTAACAATTTCATTGGTGCCGGCGGGGATCGAACCCGGGTTACTCGCGTTGTGTTATATTTACAGCGAGCGTTAGCCATCAGAGCTACCACGGCTCTCTCTTGATCAAGCTTTTAATTACGGAAAGAATTTAATTATGGTTGTAGCACGGATGGGTCGGCTCGATCGGGGAAGGACTACGCTCTCACAGAATATCAATTCGTAAGTAGTGCGTTTATAAATCTACTTCAAGGCTTAGCCGCAGCACTTTAGTGCAGCTACATTACGGTTGCAGCATGAACGCGTCGGCTCGACCAGACTTAACAACATAACAGCTCAATGCTGCTGTGTTTCGTTGAGTAAGTGTAGAGAACCGGAGACCCATTTTTATAGGGAAGGAGACATTTCATCTTACTTTTCAAGGGTTCTCTTCTAACAATGAAACTGCATTCAGATTTTTTATCGAGAAAGGATGTAGATGTCTTTGAGCCACAGAATCCACTTACCGTCAGGTGGACCGATTTCTTAGTCCACTCAGAAGGGTCAAAAACATTTTGGGGCTTCTTCTTCTATATCCTATATCTTAGCAACGACTTCGTAAGCAGTTACAAAGTAATAATTTTATTCTTTTTAGTTTTTTGCAGTCGTTTTTTTTAAATATTTTTTTATATATGAAGCCGTAGATTGATGCATCGTTCTGATGAGAGAAACTCCATTTCCTCATCTCGTCCTCGAGTGTCGCAAGGCGACTGAGGGAAATGCTCAGACAGGAAGTAGCAAGGCTTCTCGTCGAACGATTTGACTCGGGCTTTTCCTGTAAGTGGTTTCTGATTGCTGTCGTGAATTAAACTCCAACACTAGAAAGGAAATTCGTTAATTCAAATAAAAAATGGAAATGCCCAATAACTCTTTTGGTAACCGACATGCTGCGATAAATATTTTTAAAACACCATCTTAAAATCGTAAAAGAAATAATCAAATCGACTGAAAAAAGCTTAAATTAAGAACACTAGAGTGCCGTAGACAGAGGTAGTCTAATTGAAATTTACTAAATTTTCTTTTTTTTTATATAATAAGGTAAAAAACGAGCACACAGTCTATTTGATGGTAAGTGGATGCTGTGGCCATCTATGTAATAGACACATCTACATTTATCCTTGATTTAAGTATCAAAATGCAGATGCATTGTCACCCATGAGAACTAAGACGGATTGCCTCGTTTCCAGTAAAAAGAGTCTTCGGTTCTATACACTCACCTTACGAAACACAGCAGCATTAAGCTGCTATTTCACCCTGATATTCTGTGAGGACGTGGTTCTGCCCCGTACGAGCCGACCTATTCGTGCTGCAACCATAATATAGCTGCAGCGTGACTCTAGCTCTCGTAAAATAATACTATTAGTACCAGCAAAGAAGGTGACGTTGCAGTGAGGCCGGCCCATGTCGTGTCACGTGCTGTTGGTTTACATACATCATATATATATATATATATATATATATATATATATATATATATAGTGTAATATAATAAAGTGACACGTAATTTATATATATATATATATATATAAATTACGTGTCACTTTGTTTGTCCGCGATGGACTCCTAAACTACTTAACCGATTTTAATCAAATTTCCTCACCGTGTGCAGTTTGGTCCAACTTGAGAGATAGGATACTTTTTATGCCCATGAGTGACCCACATTTTTTTGCTCATTTAAGGATTTTTAATAGTACATGACAAAGGGTCATCGAAAAAAGCAGTACAACGTCTGCCTGGCACGCTAGTATAAGTACATATTACTTCTAATGCGCTCCGTGAATATTTTATAATGTAAAGTGTAAGTAGTGTTCGTTTATTTAAATAGTCAGAGTATTATCTAACACAAATGTATACTGTAGAAGTCAGAACCATAGTCAATGGGTGCGTTTGGCAGAAAAAAGCGCTAGCAAGCGCTTACAAGCGCTAAAATAGTTTTCGGCCAGGACACGATTGCTGCTTCAGTAGCGCTGACACAATCCGCCATTTTGTTTATTTAATTTGTCTATTTTGAAGTAGAGTTTATAAGTTGTTTTGTGCAATATTAGTTTTAAGTAATATAATGACATGAACATATATGTCTAATATACATGTTATTAAAAATTCATGATTGGTAAGTTTTTAATATGAATACTTTACAAACATATATTTAAATTAGCTTAGGTTCCCCGGTTAAAACTAACATCGTGTCCTGGAGGAAAATAGCTACTTACGATTTGACAGCGCTTACCGCTTACGATCGCCATTTTGCTTACAAGCGCTTGCTAGCGCTTTTTTCTGCCAAACGCACCCAATGTTGGTATTGATATTTGGTCTTATTCAAATATCAAATATCTCCCGCGGTCCAGGAACTTAGATGCATGCAGCGTCGTCTTATTCATATTTGTTGCTATTAAAAGTAACTTTATGTTTGAATGATACTTACAGTTCATCTGTAAGTGGTTACTGCAATCCATGGACACATGCAACCATCTTCTAATATAGAAGCGTTGTCAACTCTGAGAAAGAAGATGGAATGCCTCACAGAATGTAATTATAATGGGGTCTTTTTACCCTTTTGACTGGAACACATCGGTGTACGCATTGCTGCTTAGCGGCGTTTCTTTTTTGTAGAATAAGAGTGACCAACGAGCACACAGTCCACCTGTTTGTAAGTGAATCTAAATTTATCCTCGATTAAGGATCAAAATGCACACGCGTCGTCACCTATGAGAACTAAGATTGACTGCAACACTTCCAGTAAAAACGATCTTCTTCGATTTCTTAACAATTACCTTAAGAAACATGGCTAGCATTAAGTTGTTATTTTACGCTAGGATTCTGTGAGAGCGTGGTCCATCAACGGTCGAGCCAACCTATTCGTGATTCAGCAAATGTATAGCTACAGCGTGGTTCTATGATATGTTAGAGGGTGGTATTTTGACGAACTCCTAGAGAAGAAAAGAGTCCTACGACCATAACAAAGACGGACTAAGGCAGAAAAGCTCCTGAATATTCATTAGCTTCTTTTTACGACTACGACGATTAATTATACTTTTTGCAAAAATTTTAAAGTATTAATCACTTGCAACCACTTGTAACCTGAATCGTTTGCGTGGTTTGTTCTCAGAACATTTCAAATGTACTTGAGACAAACTGGGTTTCGTTCCACGCTGTGTACACATTTATCCAGATGATTAATGCTCAAATGCTCGGAACTCGGGGAGCTGTCAGCTAAGTTGATTAGGAATGACAATTTAATTTAATAATTCTTACCAAGTTTTATAATATTAAATAATGACAACATCACTGTTATGTTATGATATCATTTTTCTTCTCTTTGCGTTTAGATACGAAACGACATAGAATGTTATCTTATTTAGAATTAGTTGTTATAATAAAAATTATTATTTAAGATATAATTTTAAAATAAATTAGTAGTTTTACAACCCTTCATACAGTAATAATATATAATTTATAATAATAAACGAATTCTTATGGTTTTCCGTTCGTCGATATTTTTTTGTTAACTAAACTATAACTTGCATCTTTTATAATAACTCAACGACGTACATCGATATTCTATACAGTTAGCAAAATATAAAAATGTAACTTCTGTAATAATATCCCATAATTTTTTGTAGTTAAAGTAAATTTTTTTTCGGGTAACTATACAATATCATGTCATTAATTCGCACAATAATATGTGTCGGGGCAATAGGGCTTATAATCGTGAAAATATTTAAATTTTAATAAAAAATAAAAAATATAAATTTCTTTGCAACTTTCCGCTAAACATATAAAATGATGTGTCTTACCTGGATTGAAGCGCACCTCCCGCCCTCCCTCAATTGCATACACTAACTCCGTCACCACTAGACCAAGCAATTGAGGGAGGGCGGGAGGTCGCTTCAATCCAGGTAAGACACATCATTTTACATGTTTAGCGGAAAGTTGCAAAGAAATTTATATTTTTTATTTTTTATTATAATGGATTTCCGCAAAGTAACGCTTGATTCTATCAATTATTTAAATTTTAATGTTTTCGTGCCAGTGGGGCATAACAAAAGTACCTAAAACAAGGCACTGGGGAATAAAAGCCAATTAAACATTAAAAAACTGCTACGAAATCAATTTTGACAGAACTACGTCCCCAATTAAATATAAAAGTCCTAATATTATCCATCAACATTTTCTAATTTGTGCGTGTGTAATATACTGATTTGTGTTTATATGAAAATCTCGAGCAATGAGAATAGAC